AAAATACTTTTTTTAACCTTTATGAATCAGAATGGTTACATCTGGAACACATTCTGTTCCCATCAGTTTGTGGTTGTTAGAGACTGGTTCTGTAGCCTGAGAGGAAGCTTAATTCTGAAAAATGTACCTTCTACAACAGTGTCAATATGAAAAGCATTTTTAGAAATACACTTTGCTGCTATGAATACACACTGATAAGCTGGGCTTTCAGTATCTGATGCGGCCAGTCTTCAAGAGGAAAAGCAAACATTGCTGTCCCCTGAAACATCTACCAGATCCCATGCTGCTGTGTGTACATGAATGGAACTACTTTTATGGTTGCTGAATGTGTGTGTGTGTGTGTAATGTCTATTTTGAATTTGCCTACTTTTGCTTTCATTCTTCATAATTTCTCATTTTATAGGATTGACCATAAACTGTATATAAAAGAAATGTGTGAAATAAATAAATGGCCAAAGAGGAGCTCATTTCCTTTGGGGGTGGGAAGAACTCTGGGGAAGGGGGTCGTCCAGGCCTTGGGAGTGGGATGTTCATGGTGAGAGGCAGTTTTCTGCCCTCCATGGAGAGGAGAGTGGGGGAACTTGCCACTCCTCTAAGCCAGTCCTAAATGAATTATATTTCACTTTTCAGTATGCCCACAAGAAGAGGAGTATCTTGTTTGGTAGGATTGTTGATCTGCCCAGAGGAAGAGAAAACTCAGGGCAATGGTCCTCGAGGAGAGCCTGCCCAACTCGCCCTCAACACACACATAAGCTGTGAGTTCCCTCTGGGACAAAAGACTATCTGGGAAGCTGTCCACATTGAGCCTCTTTGTATTGTGCTAGATGAAATAAGTCAGAGACAGACAGATACCATATGATCTCACATATATGTGGAATATAAAAAATAAAGCAAAACATAAATAGACTCAACACAGAACAGACTGGTGGTTGATACAGGGGAGGAAGATGACGGATGGTTGAAATAGCTGAAGGTGAAAGATAGTCAGACTGTTTAACATATTGATCTGAGTTTTGGTTACATGAATGTGTACACATGTCAATTCATTGAGCTGTATGCTAAGATTTGTGCATTTTATTGTGTGCACCTCAATTAACACACAAAATATGAGCACACATAAAAAAACAGCCACTTTACTGCATCCTTTCCAAGCATGCTGTCTGCCAGGTGAGGGGACCCTGTGTCACAAGGGCATTGGGGTGTCCCAGCATGAATACATGGAGCAGAGGTTGGGGTTCAGCTGGGGAAACTGAGGAATGGGGATGCCCCAGGGGAGGTTGTGGCTGCACCATTTTTCCCATGTCTTCTTGCTTCAGCACTGAGGGAACAGCAAGAGCCTGATGAGGGAGGAAGAGGAGGTTTCTAGAGGCAGAATAGCTCCCTCCCTGCTGCAGGCCCCCAGCCAGTTGGGGGTCAGAATTGGATATGAGATCAGGGTTTGCAAATGGGGCAAATCCTTTGATAATTAAAGTTATATGAACACCAGGGGCCCTGCTGAAGATGCTGTGGAGGGACAGGAAGGAAGGACTGTGCAGAAGTAATGAAAGGCAGTGATTTGAAAACCATGAAAGACAGGGAGTGTGTCATGTCACTACTCTATAGTGTTGACTGCTCCATCAGATGGTTTAAATGATACATTTTTAAAATATTTTCTTGTGAATGTTTCCCACTGACAAGAGGCCAATGCAAAAGAAGCATTGGCTTACTTTTTAAATGACAGAGGCACCCTATGCTCCTGTAAAAGTGTGTGGTGGCACAGTGCCCCATGGCATGAATAGACCATAGTTTATTTATCTGTCCTGGTCATAAGTAGGTGGTTTCCACCCTCTGCTTTCACACTGCTTCAACATGCTCTTGTACCTCTATGTGCTGCTGTGAATATTTCTGCAGAACATATTCCTTCCCTGGACTGTTGGGTCAGAGGATGTTCACATTTAGAAATTGGTAGATATTACCAAAATTGACCTCAAGATCGCTGCACGGGTTTATAAGCCCACCAAAAATGTGTGGGAGTGCTCATTCTGTGCATATATTTGTCTTCTTGTATAAAATTCCCATGAGGCCAGCGAGAACTTGTCTTGCATCTGTTGCTGAGGTCAAAGTCCTCTCTCATCTCTGCTAGCCTTTGTGAGTTAGCATCCCTGGGCTGCCTCAAGCAGGGGAAGGCTTACATCATAGGTGTGTTTTGTACACTGGATTAGGGTCCCAGTGTTGAGGGACAGCTGCATGGAAAATGGAAACAGTGGGGAGAACTGAATATACCATGTCTTATTTTTAGAAACCTGTGCAAGGGTCATGGGATGTGAGCTGGAAGGAGACTGGATTTCTACTCTGAATGTTCCTACCTCCTGAGTGGCCTCCTGCATGGCCTTTATGGTTCACAAACCATGTAGCTGAATGTCTGAGTTCCCTTCAACCTTAAAGCTGGGCTTCCCCATTATTTAAAATGCCCAGATGGAGCTATTAGTTATTAAAAAATAATTTAATGTTGCCTTTTGTATCAGCTATATGTTTGCTCTTAGTTATACATTAAAAATAATCTTAAAGGAATAGATAATAGTTATGTATGGTCAAGGAACATATTTTTAATGCTGCCATAAAAACACTTGTGAGTTGGACCCCAATATAATTGCATACTAATGCAAAGAATTTGCGTTATCATATATGGTATTTTAATAAGGCTATCATTTTATCATAGTAGGTGGCCAAGCATATTTTCAGAAACTCAAAAATACACTTACTCGATATGTTAGAGAAATAAATCATGCTAGATGGCCACACCCCCTATGTAAAATCACATAAAACCAGTGGCGTGTTACAGCTGTCTCCTGAGATCCTATCGCAGGCTTCTCTTGCCAACTCCACCAGCACCTTGAAATCACACAGAGTCGGCAACTTTATACCACAGAAATCAGCAAATGCTACAGAAAGCCAGTTCTTAAATATTTGTCTGACACTACTGCTTTTCTTTATCATTCTACATGTTAGTATATTTTTGAATGAATCATTTAAGAGGAAGGTACAAACATATCCCATCACTCCCTAATATTTAAGTATACATTTTCTTAAAATAAGAACTTTTCACATCAAAATCAGGAAATTACCATATATCCAATATTACTATCTGATCAATAGCCATTTTTCAAAATATCTTTTTCTCCAAATGCTGTCTTTTCTAGGCCCGGGGTCCCATCCTGGGTCCCTATTACATGCAGTTGTCAATCCCCTTCAATCTGGAACTGTTCCTTAGTCTTGCCTTGCCTTTCATGACCTTGATGTTTTTGAAGAGTGTAAGTTTGTCTGATGTTGATTTATGAATTTGGGGGCAGGAATACCTCAAAAATGATGCTGTTGTGTTCTTTTAACTGCACTATGTCATGTGGTAACATATGTCACATCTGGTGTGCTAACTTCTGTCACTTGGTTAAGATGGTATCTGCCAGTCTCCACTGCAAAGTTGATTGGTAAGTGTTTTGTAGTTCTAAAGTAATAAGTAAGTAATTCATATTTTGTGGGGAGATACTTTGAGACCTCTATTGTAGGGTAGAACTTTCTCTTCTCCCCATTTGTTTATCCATTTTTTATACATATCAGTGCAGAAATATACACTCTTGGACTTCAATTTTACTCAACCTGTAACTGCCGTTAATTACTGTGATGTTCAGATTTGACCAATGGGAGTTCCTTCAAGCTGGTTTTTCTGTCTAAATGACATTTCCCCATCATTCTTTGAGTACTTCCTTACTTTCTGGTATGTTTTAGACCCATTCTGGTATGTTTTTTTTCAACACCACCAAGGTGTTAACTCTAACACGATTTACCTAGAGTTAGATTTACTTGTGTCAGATCCCACAGATTAAGGACTCAATCCTACAAGACTGGCCCCCACTTCACATGCCAATCACAAGACCAGGTTATTGCCTGTGTTTCTGACCTATCTGCTATAAGTCAGAGGTTCCCACAACCACCTCCTTGTGTTTTATTAATTTGCTAGAGCGGCTCAGAGAACTCAGGAAAAGTTTCCTTACTAGATTACTGACTGGTTTATTGTGAAAGGAAAAAGCCAGGAATAGCCAGATGGAAGAGATGAACAGGGAAAGGTATGGGGAAAGGGTGGGGAGCTTCCATGCTTTCTGGGTGCATCAGTCTCCCTCCTTCTCTAGGCCCTCTTCCATTCACCACCTTGGAAGCTCTGCAAACCCCATCCTTTTGGGTTATGGAGGCTTCATTACTCATAATTGGTTAAATCACTGGCCACTGGTGTTCGACCTCAATCTCCAGCCACACCCCTCTCCCTGAAGTCTGGGGGTGGGAGTGGGGTCTAAATGTCAGCCTTCTAACCACATAGTTGGTACCCCCAGCAACCATCCCCTATCTTTAGGAGCTTTCCAAAAGTCATCTCATTGGCATAAATCAGGTGTGGTTGGAAGGGGATTGTTATGAATATCAAAAGATCTCCTTATCCGTCTCATCACTTAGGAAATGCCAAGGTTTTAAAAGCTCTGTGCCAGAATCTAGAATGAAGACCAAATATATATTTACTATAAATCATAATATCACACCCATCATGTATTTTTCCTTTTCAAACTCTGGAGTCCACCATTTCTCCAAAGAGGCTTCTTTTAATGGAAAATTTACTAAAAACCAAGGTCTGGGTGCTAGATGTGCTCATTCATACTGGGGTGTTATTTTTTTCTAAGCCCTCAAAGCAGACAGAGGTAGGAACATATATTTATCTACTTACCTATGTCTGTGTGTGGGTTCCTGTTATATACACAGTAAAAACCAACAATTTCGTGCCTCTTTATCCCCTTCACCCCATGGTAACCAGCAGTCACTTCTCAGTTCACTTCTGTGAGTCTACTGCTGTTTTGTTCATTTTGTTTTGCTGTGTTTTTAGAGTCCACATGTAAGTGAAATCAATTTTTATCTTTCTCCATCTTTTTGTATTTTTTAATTTCCTTTCTCTGAGAAACCTGACTCTTAGCACACTTGGGGAATTTTCTTATTTGCTCAAACCTTTATTGTGCAATTCTTGTCATGATTCATTTTAATTTTCACATTGCCCCATGATTGGTCAGTGCAGCCTGTTCGCCCTAGCTCCCACGTCCCAGTCAGTTTAGGGGCAAATTAGTGCTTTATGGCTCAGGGTGTTCCAGAGTCATCGGCCCAATCCTGGAATCAGCTCTTTGTCTAAGTTCATTTCAGTGGGAACTGACATGTAACGGGGATCTGGGCCTAAGTGCGCTTACTGCTTATGAGGTGTCATTGCTTCTAGACATTTTTTAGAACTAGAAAATACATGCAAAAATGCACACAAGTTAACCGATACTTTCAATCCAACCCAATGAGGTTTCTCCTTTCTCACATTCTAGTTTCTTTCCCATCTCCTGCAGTGGGCACCCTGGCTCCTGGCAACATCAATTACTCTACTCATTGGCTCAGTCCTGTTACACACAAAAGAGCTTTGGAATTGCCTCTTTTACTTAAAGAAATCATATACATACACTACACCCCTACGCAGCAAAGGTCCCCCTCTGTCCCCTTCCTGCTGCTCTGAGCCGTTAGCCTTTGCCGACATTCCCGCGACGCTCCCTGCGCCCTGGAGGGAGCGGCAGAGCAGGGCCCTGGCCGTGTACTCAGGACCCCGTCCTGCGGCCAGGACAGTGCCTCACCACAGGCCCCAGGTGGGGTCCGAGGGCTCATAGGGCTGTAACCAGGTGTCACTGTCGTTCTCTTCGGGGAAGCAGGTGCCTCTAGCTGGCAACGGGCAGATGGTGAGGGGATCCGGGTGCGCGCTGCCGTCGTGGGCGCGCGGCCTGAAGTAGGCGCAGAGCGCCCCCGAGAAGGAGTCGGTGAAGGTGAAGATTTGGGAGCCGTCGGACACGTTGAAGAAGGCCAGCCTCCCCGCGTCGCAGTCCAGGAAGACGCCCACGCGCCGGGGAGGCACGCGCACGCGGAGCGCCACGCGGTGCGGGTCCAGCACGAAGTACTCGCAGCCGTTCCACAGCCCCAGCACCCAGTAGCCGCTGGCTGGGCTCAGGCGCGCCGCGCCCGCGCGCGGCACCGCGGCAAGACAGGCGCCCAGGAACCAGCGGCTGCGCCGGCCCACGTGCACCTCCCAGTAGTGGCGACCGGCCGAGAAGCGCTCGCGGCTCAGCACGCACGTCTGCTCCGAGAAGCTCTGCGGGCCGCCCGCCGCCGGGCCCGGCGCAGCCGCGCGCGAGGACACGCTCCTGCCGTCCTCTGAGACTTGCAGGCTGGGGTGCGCCGAGGCGGGGTCCAGGGTCACGTCCACTGAGCAGAGGCTCGGGTTAGCGCCCTCGCAGGGCGGTTCTGGACCCTGCCTGTCCCTCCCGCCGCAGGCAAGCCTCCACTTCTCCTGGCTTAGCAATGAGTGCAATAGTTTTCCCCACCCCCAACCCCGAAAACCTCCAAGAATTGAAGCAGCGAACATTTGAAAGTGATAGGAATCCCGTTTCTTTCCTGGGCTGGAAGTTTCCTGAATTCCATACTAGATGCCATGGACAGCAGACCTTGCAAGCAAGGTAAATTCCCCTGAGTCCTAGTCAAGAGGAAAGAGCTCTGGCCTGGTTCTGTTCCTGACTGATCTCGCCACTCTGTGTGCCTTTGAGATCCTAACGTGAGCTCTGGGCCTCAGCTGCACAGCAATTTAAGATTTTAAAACTGAAAGGGACCTCTGAGATGATCCAGTCTTGTACCCTGCACTCCAGCACCCCACCCACAAAACACACCTATCTGATGGATGGGAATCCTGAGGATCTCTTCTGTTGGATGAGACATTCCTTACACATCCTGTATTCTCCTGTAAACAGGCTCTAGCAACCTTCCTGCTGGGTGTTAAGAAACCTAGTAAAATCCTATGTGGGTGTGTGCAAACAAATGTGCGCATGTGTGAGTGCAATCATGTGTGCATGCAAGCATGTATGTGCGTGTGTGCACATGCAGGTGTACGTCTCACATTATGTGTGTGTGCAAAAGTATGTGTGTGTGTCTACGTGTGCAGGACTGTATTTGGCTCCTGGGCAGGTCTTTCCTCTAACCTCAGATCTCTCCACCCCCCTTCTGTTGAAGACCCAGCCAACCCAAGCCACAAGTCACAGTCCAGTTACCTGCATATTGTTGGGCTGCTCTCCACTCTGAAACCAAATAGAAAGGAAAAAGAGGTTCAGAGATCTGAGTCAGTAACTGTGTACTCCTGAGGCTCGAGATGCATGAGGAATGCCTGCAAATGACCCATTCCCACCATGACAGCTGATTTGGATCCAGACAGGTCTAGATTTACCCAAGAATTTGGGATTCGGCAGGGCTGGCGTCAGTGCTGGGTTATACCAAAGCTGCATGCAGGCCAGATCTGTGCTGGGAGTGCAGGAGAACAAAATGTGTGCAAAGAAAACTAATTCAAGTGGCCAGGATGCCCTGAGTATGGGCTGAAGCCTGGATCTCTGATGGGTGGGCCAGTCCCCGGGAGGCCCAGGTGAGCATGGCTGTTTGAGGCTGTTCATTCAGTGTTGTTTGTGGTGGTGTGCAGTGAGAGGCAGACGGGACATCTACTGCAGGGGTGGCTGGCTGAACTGGAGCACTCTGCAGCAAGAATCAGATGGCAGCAGGGATGGATATTAAAACAGTGAGGAGCAAGAAAAGCGAGGAGCAGCACGAAGCTGTAATGCCATTTACAGAAACTAAAATGCATGTTCAGAAAACAGAAATGCACATTTTGCAAGAATATATACAAAATAAAGATACACATTAGACTGCTTACTTTACATGGGGGATGGAGAAAGGTACAGGGAGAAACATTTACTTATAGGGTAAAATGCCTGTTCCAGATGCATGAGTTAGAGTCTGAGGGTGGGCAAGGAATACAGGTGATTCTGAGGTGCAGCCAGGATTGGCACCAATGGTTAACACTATGCTTATACCCCAGGATAATATAAAAATAAATATAAAAGTAAAACTTGAATATAACCTTTATCAAGTGGCATAGATCAATATGCCACCTGGCTGTGGAATAAGCCAGAATGAAACATGGATGGTTAGAGTGAGTGATGGGATGTGAAGTGGACTGTGGGATGGAAATGAGCTTCACTCACCAGCCTGGCCTTCAGCCCTTCTCCAGTCTGAAGCAGCCAAGGAAAAACAGAATTAGAACAGCACATCCCTGCAGCTTCCCCACTCACATGTCACCTCTTGCACCCACCCCTGCCCCTCTCCCTTTTCTCCTGCCACCCACACAGCCAGCAAGGCTCCAGCCTGGGCATCTTACCTGGTTGGGGGACAAGAACATACATGGATAACTAGATGTTAAAAGGTGGACAAGAAGAAATAGTTCTAAGAAGTGTCACTTACCAAGCTCTGTCTGAAGCTTCTCTGTAAGCAGAACACAGGGGGAAAACATCAGCCTTTGGATGAGTGATGAGTGGAACCACCTTCCCAAGGCAGTTAGGCTGCTGTGAAGAGGTTCGTTAGCCTTAAACCACTGCTCACTCCAGTCCCACACTAGTCTCTCCACTGCCAGTCTGCAGGATTCTTACATTTCATACTGTTCTTTGCTCTAAGGCAGAAATCTGCACAGGGCCCAGAAGGGAAAGCAGGTCTTGGTACTAAAGGAGCCTCTTTCCAGGGCTCAGGTCTGGTCTGAAGAGGCTACTGGTCATTTGCCCTGAAATCAGAAGCTTTCCCTGGGGAGGAGGTCCTAGGCACTGAGCACAACCTACAGTGAGCCTCAGGGTCACATACTGGGTACATTATTTACAGGACAGGGAAGGAGGACATCATAGCCAATTATTTCCCCTGGCCAATACCAAGACTCTGAGAATCTGCCACTGGAAATGCATGCCTTTGATTTCTCCACCCTGAGTCTTCTTTCAAAAGTAAATGATGCCAGAAAGGAAACACTGTTCCTAATTCAGACTATGATGTTAATGACTTGTTATAGCTGCTCCCTCTGCAGGACTGGTAGACTGCAAGACCAGCTTCTCCAACCTCAAACTTTTTGTCTGGAATTCTACTGGACATGTGCCATCCATGCTCTTCTCCGCCATCACCCCTTCCTTTAAATTCATTCTCCCTCCTCTGTTCAGACACACACACCCCTAGGTGTGAATCCCCCTAGGGAGAAAAGTGAATCTGATAAATTAATCTCACTTTAGTGCAAATGAAAAGTGCCACCCTTCTCAGTGGTATCTGCATTAAAAAGAGAAAGCTATCCTATGGAGATGAACCAGTGGGGGTAAACATTTAATGGTGGAATTGTAACTATATCTTATAATTTTCAGGGGAGGGGCCGGCAGGGTCCGTCCAGCGGGTCTAAGGCCAGACCCCCTTGGCAGCTGCACAGGAGTCCGTCTGGGGGTGGAGAGGTGGGGGGCATAGGGGGACGGGTTTACAATTAGATCGTTGCCATACATCGCTCTCCAAACGGAGCCTGAAATCACAACTCGCCCCGCCTAGCCCCGCAGCAAGCCCTGGGAACGTGTCACCCAGAACTTACCCAATTCCGCTCTGAGTTTCCCTGGAGAAGAGACGAAGAAAAGAGGAAAATCTGGGTAAGCACAGAGGCCTCGCTCCCGCGAGGTTCAAAGACCCGGCCCCTCCGCGTGGGCGCAACGCGCGGGAGGCGTGGCTCCGAAGCAGGGGAAGCGCAGAGCTGCCCGCCTCCCGGCCTCAGGGCTGAGTGCTCGCCTTCCAGCCCAGCAGGGCCTGCAGGGATGTGGGCAGGGTCGCGCCCCTTCCCCCTCACCTTTGTCCTTCTCTGCCTGCTTCCGGAGCTTTTCTGAAAGGACGGACGAGGGACGGACGTGAGCGCACCGGGGCCCGCGTCCTGCCGCCGCCTCCACGCCGCCCTCCCGGCACCAGCGCCCGGAGGCCCGGCCTAGGCCCCCTACCTCGCGACCTGCGGTGCTTCCGGACGAAGAACAGCGCCAGCGCCGCGAGGAGAGCCAGGAAGAGCGGCAGCGCCACCAGGGTCCCCAGCAGAGCTCCCTTCCAGGGGGAGGGTCCGGGTAAAAACACGTCTGAAAGACACCCGCGGGGAGCTGTCTCACTTTAGGCGCCACTGCACCGAAGTGACAAGACTGGACCCTGCGTGCCGGGAGCTTCCGCGGGGCAGGGGCGGCGACTGGGATCCCGAGCAGCAGCCCGGGACTGACGTGCTGGCGGGCAGGAGAAGGCGCGGCAAGGTGAGGACGTCCGAGCGGGGAGCCGATGCAGCCCAGAACTTCTGTGACCTCGGACCTGACGCCCCTGTCCTCCCCACAACTGCCCTGTGTCTGTAGGACGCGGGAACGTAAAGCGTTGGTATCTGAATCCCAGGAGATTAATGCTCTCTACGCACCGCCCAAGCCAGAAGGCTTCTTGCCAAACACTTGGGTTCTACTTCTCATCACACCCTTGGCAGAACTGACAGCAAAGCCGCGTGGGGCGCACTGCTTCCCGCTTTCCTGCTCAGGCCCCCGGGGAGGACCTGCCGGAGGCAGGATGTGCCGGGTCCACTGGGGCAGTGGCTGGACAGCAAAGAGTTACCGGCAAAAATGGAGACTGACCCTTCAGAAACTCCTGTGTCGATTTAATAGAATAACTCAGTAATTTTGTCTGTTGAGGAAACATGTTAAAAATGGTGCTTTTTATCTCAGGGGTCTTTTTATAAAAAAATAGTTTTCTTTTTTTATTGTGGTAAAATATACATAAAAGGTACCGTCTTAACCATCTTTTGGCACACGGTCCGGCGGCATGTACACTCACACTGTTGTGTAGCCATCGCCATCCATCTCCAGAACTTTTTCATCTTCCCTGGCTGAAACTCTACACCCAGGAAACACTGACCCCGACAACCCCCTTTCTACTCTCTGTCTCTATAAAATGACTAGGTATCTCATTTAAGTGGAATTGTACGATATCTGTTCTTTTGTGTCTCGCTTACCATAATGTGTTATTTTCTTTTTAAATTTTATTCTTCTAGCAGTGCATTTTTATTGTCTCGCGCAAAGTATTGGGCCGCGATGGATTGATTAGTCCTTAACTGCAGAAAGTTTGAAAGCGCTGACCCACAGGCTAAGAGCAAGAACTCAGGCCCTGATGCTTCCCTGTCCCTTTCCCTCTCCTGCCTCTGTCCTGCCCCCCAAAAGCCATGCAAGTTCCCATCTCAGGACCTCTACCTGGGTGCCCTCCTCATAGGTATGACTCACATAGCAAAGGAGAAACACAAATCTAAAACAAAAACACCTGGATTTTCCCTGGTGCAAATAGAGAAAGAGACTCCCTACTTCCCTTGTCTTAGAGTATTAACTTTAGAAAACTTATAAAGCCTTTCACTATCCCTTTGAGATGTATGTAAATCTTTTTGAAAGCTAAATAAACTCTTGCCGGCTTTACAACCCAGGACTATTTTTCTTTAGGAGCTCAGAGCATCTCTTTGAGATGAAAACATCCAGGAGAAGCTGCCTGTATTCCTCTTGGGAGTTTTACTCAGGTGCCTGGTTCCAGGTTGTAACTACATGCTTGTGATAGAGACATATATGCAGTGTTTTATTTTTCCTTTGGATAAAGACAATTAGCTGGATATTATGCTAAGTGAAATAAGCCAGGTGGAGAAAGACAAATACCATGTGATTTCACATATTTGTGGAATCTAAAAACAAAAGAAAACAAAATGAACAAAACAGCAGTAGACTCATAGACCCTGAGGTGTGACTGGTGGTTACCTCGGGGGAGGGGCTGGGTGGGTGGGTAAAATAGGTGAAGGGGATAAAGGGGCCCAAAATCTCAATCATAACATAAATTAGTCACAGGGATGAATGTACAGCATAGAGAATATTGTCAGTGGTTCTGTAACAGCTTTCTGTGTTGACACATAGTAACTACACTAGTTGGGGTGAGGATCTAATAATGTAGGTAAATGTTGAATAACTATATATATATATATATATATATATTACCAATATAATATTATATATTCACTATACTTCAATTAAAAAAATTAGCTAACCCTGATGGCCACCCTAATTACCAGGTGAATTTCAGATGAATTATGTGCGACCCATGGTGCTGTAAAGTCCTCTTACTTGAGGACAATCTATCCATTATGAGAGTGAGGTTTCTTTCTGTTATTATAATTATTGATATGGACCAATGTGAAAAATGGCACATACGTTAGGTTTACCCTCAAGACTTGGAACAATTAAACACTAAACCCTTCAGTGGGTGCCTAATAACAAGACTTCGATCCTAGATAATGGCCTCCCCTTCAACTCACTGCCTGTCTTCTTACCTGATCCACCACTTTTAACTCCACCTATGTGCCTCAGCACCCTCCCCTGCTTCACTTTTCTCTATAGCACCGAACATCTTCTAATGTAAGATGTAACTCACTCTCTTATTTGTCCATTTTCCCCACTGGAATGTGAACCTGAGGGTAGGGGTTCAGGCACATTGTAGGCACCCAATAAATACTGTGTGAGGGATGAAATTAGGAATACATGCACTGTCATGATGACCTCTAATGAGTAGCTTCTGGATTTTAGCACATGACCCTTAGTACATAACATTAGCTTGCTTGCCCCCGTCCCCCACCCCAGGTATTTTGGATGAATTGTAGCAGTTGTACTCTTAGTAGCTTCCTGGTATCCAAGTTGCTGACTTTTCAGGTATCAAGGTCAGCCCACCCCCTACACAGTCAGGCCCAAGTCCCATTGTGTCTTTATAGATGGCCTTGAGGATAATGGGCACGGAGGACACAATGACTAGGAAGATGGTGAACTGGCACCACTGACCTGCTATCTGGACCATGAACTCTTTCTTCTCGATCAGGAGGGTGTTCTGGATGGAGCAGGACACATTGCTGTGGGCCCCACCTCGGACAACCACAGATGTTTCCAGATTGAAGAGGCCCCTGGTGTCCTGGACGATGGCTTCTGTCTCTGGAGGCAGGCACTGCCCCCGATAGTCTCTCCACTGAGCCTGGGGCTTGGGGTACCAGCCACTGGAGCGGCACCTCAGCTGAATGCCTCCCTCCTTGAAGCCTTCAAGGGAGATGTGAGGGTCCGAGCCCAGCCCTGGGAGAGGCAGGAAGAAGGGGAAAGATCAGGCTCCTTCCCAGAAGTTGTATGTGAAATTCATGCCACCATTCACCATTTGCAGTTGCCATAAGGCATCTTGAACTGAGACTGCTGTTCACCCAGAAGTGGCCCACAGCCCTCCACTCCCCAGCCGGTAAATGACAGTCTAAATCAGGGGTGGCATGTGGGACATGGGGACGGTAAGACCCATAAGGGACATTTGGAAATATATTGGGGTGCCATTTGGCTGGGAAGGGCTACTGGCATTTAGTCATATTATGCAAGGACAGTCTCCTGGAGTAAAGAAAAATCCCATCCCAAATTTAAATGGATTGCCTTTTCTCTTTCTTGAATCCCACCAGGCTGTGTGCTGTGTCACATAAACTCCTTTATCTCCCCATCCTTGCGGAGAGAGCTTTTATGTAAAACATTAATGTTAGTTTAAATGTCAAGACTGTGTGTGTGTATGTGTGTGTGTGTGGATATACACACACACACATATACACACACACGGGAAAGCACCCCACCGCTGCACCCAATCCTCCCTTAGGTAGGCATTTGCATTTGTTTCCAGTGCCTCCCTCCTGTGTCTTCTGTGAAGGGTTTGTCTTTCTTTCTTAGACAAATGTTTATAGGCTATAGAACCTCTTTGCAGCTTCTTTTTTTTCCCCTTAAAATCCTAGAAATTGCTCCCCTCCAGTGCATACAGCTCCTCATTTTTTCCACTGCATAGTGTGAATGACTCCATTGTGTGAGGAGCCATACCCAGCACCTATCCTTGGACGCTTAGGTAGCTTCCCATGTTGTACAGTTACAAATAATGCTTCCAAGATTAAACTTATACCTATGCCTTTTTCATATTGGAGCTGTGGTAGGTGAATCGTCAGAGAAACTACTACAGGTGGGTTTGCTGCTGAACGGGTACACGCTGAGGCTGTCCTCTTAGCTATTGCCAAGTTCTCTGGCCCTGAAGCTTCACGACTCTGAGCTCCACCAATGCAGCACAGAGCAGAGGGCCTGCTTACTCACAGCTCTGCCACGGTGTGTGCTCAAAATGGTGAACTTTTGCCAATCTGAGAGGTAAAAATTTGCATCTCAGTGTAGCTTTATGTGCCTCTCTCTCCCTGTAAGTAAGCCTTTATGTTTAAGGGCCATGTGTGTTTCCTTTTTGTGAACATTTCTTTTGCTCGTTTTCTAACGAATCCTTCTTTTTAATAGGTTTTTGTTTGTTTGTTTGTCTGTTTGTTTAATGAGAGCTATTTTCCCGTTCTCTGTGTTTCTCTTTCTACTCTTGAGTAGAGCAGCCCTTTTCTCCCGGCCCTGCTGGAGCTTGGCCAGGTCACGCACCTGCAACTTCCAGATCCCAGATGGCTTCCCCAGAGAAGTTGCTGGAGAGGAAGCGGCACCCGTAGGGGCCCTGGTCTGCCGGGACGATGCCTTGGAGGAGCAGCGCCACGCTGCCGTCCATGATGTCATCCTTGAAGAGTTGGGTCCTGTTCTGGAACTGCGCCATCTGGCGGCCGGGGAGCTCCTGCCCCTCCTGGTACAGGTGCACCACGTCAGAGGCCTGGCTTCGGAACCAGAGGATCTCCATGTCCCCGGCGTCCTGGTACGGTGACAGGTGGCACGGGAATTCCACCTCCTCCCCGACGACGGCCAGGATGGACTCCCCAGGGCCTACCACCCTGACCTCCTCTGGGACGAGAAGTCAGAATCAGCCCTCCTCAAATATAAGTTTATCACATCCCTTTGCAGCTCAGGAATCTACAGGAAACCATTCAAATGATGAAAGTGAGACATTCTACAGGACAACTGGCCTGGTTTCTTGAGCAAGTAATTGTCAGGAAAAGAGTGAATGTGCCAGACCTAAAAATACACAAGGGATATTCCAACCAGATACAATGTGTGGTGCTGGACTGATAATTGATTTGAACCAACCAGTGTACATGTTATTTGGGGGACATTTTTATGAATATGGCCAGGGTATTAAATGAAATGGAATCTTTGACCAGAAAAAGAAAAGAAAAAAAAAAGCCCTGCAAGTTTCCAAACTATATGTGCACTATCCTCTTATTTGATTTAAAAATGACATTTTTATATGTGCACAGAAAAAGTTCTGAAAAGAGATATACCAAACTGTTGATGGTATTAGTTTGGATGATGGGAATAGCTGTTTTCCTATTTTTGTTTTCTCTGATTTTCTAAGTTTTTATAATGCACATGGACAGATTCTGTCACAAAGGGTATTCAAATAATCAATGGAGGCTGCTTGCTTATGGGGTTTCCTATCAAAAGGTCAAATCGCGCTTTTGAGATTTTTACTGATCAGGACGTTTCGTTTGGTGTCTCTTCAGGGGTGTCTCCGTATGGCCTCTCTACTTCCTGCTTTCTGCGGCTGCCTGGAGAGCTGTCGCACACACTGTGCCTCCCCGCATGTCCTCATTCTCTCTGCCTTCTGTGCCCCTCCCGTGCTTCCTTCAAAGCCCAGCTGAGTCCCCTTCCAAAGCCCCTCCATTATGGGTGACCCCATCCTGCACTTTGCTCACAGAACATGGCACTTTCCTATGTTGACCCCATTGACACCCCTTGTTCCCCACTGGGTGTAGCCCCAACACCCTCCCTATCACCTTCCCTCTTCAGGTGCATTCCAGCTGTCTCTTCCCTCACACTGATGCCTGGCCCTCTCCCTGGGCACACCCTGCCTCAGTTTACCCTCCATCTGTCATCTTCCTGGAGAATGTGTATTCCATAAGGTTCTACTCAAACAGTACCTCCTCTCTGTGGCTCTTCTTGGCTTTCTGAAAAAACAAATTGCTCTCTTACCTGTGCTTCCAAGTTTTTATGCATTTTCTCTTGTGGCCCTGGTCACACAGCTGGAGAGTCATTTATTTCACATCTGTCCCCTACCATGACCTGCTTGAGTACCTGGGCCTTGGTATCCCTGGTTTGCAGCTCAGAGAATTAGGAATTCATTTGCATAATTAGTTATACTCTCTGTTAGCTGTTTCTTTCAGGAGAGATAGGAGGCCAGAGGTCCTTCCTGTCCTTTGAAAGCAATGGCTTATATGCAGAAGTGGAGCTAAAAATATTTACCAACTGGCTCAACCCAGGCACAGACCAATAAATTTCTTGGCACCCTTCTGCTATGTCTCTGCCATACATGTGAGCTGTGGATCCTGGGGNTGGGTGGCTGGGGAGGTGATGGAGGAGCCCTGTGAGGCTGCATGGTGTTCAGGGGCAGTGGCTCTTTAACAACTGGGATAGAAAGCTTGCAATTTATCACCTTCCTTGGCTGGGTACCAGGTACAGGATCTCAGCCCTGGGAGGACCTGGGAGGAGGGTGCAGCAGCAGCCCACCTCTGGGCTGGCTGGGCTGCAGGTCAGACATACTACCTGAGTTCGGCTTTCCAGGCTGGAGAAGGAGGAGGAGGTGGGTGAGGAAGAAGAGCCTGCTGGGCAGAGGAACTCGCTGAGGGGAGTTCAGGGAGTCTGCGGATTCCATCATCGCTCTTCAGCAGTGAGGCCACCTGGGGAGGGACGGAGAGGCGGGAGGGATGAGGAGGAATGGGCCGAGGCCTGGCAGGCCCCACCTTCTGTCACTGCCTCAGTTGTTTTTTGCAGGCTACCAGCCCCAGTGCCTGGCTTCTTTTAAACTGCAGCCGGATGTGAGAGCTGCTTCTAATTTTATCAGGAGGCACTGCCAATGAAACTCATGGAGCTGCAAGGGGACAGGGTCAGAGGGTCCCAGAGGAAGCAGCTTCTGAGCTTCGCATTGTTTAGGGCCAGGAACAGAGCCACACATTGTGTGGGGGCTGCACTAGGACTTAGACTTTCCCCAAACAAAGGGAAACCATCTGGGCCCAGAGGCATTTCCATTTGCCCTGCCCCAACTTGCTCCCACTTCCCTTTGACCTGGAACATCAGGTCCACACAACACAGGAACAAACAGGGGGTTCTGATCTTTCAGATCTGGGTCACAAACATGACAGCTGCCTACCCACTCCACCACATTGGGAACACCTTCCTGCAGCCCTGAGCCCTCAGGTGGAGCCTCCAGCTGGTCAGCTGGTGGCCATCTCTGAGTGTGCAGCATCCTCCAGGCCACAGGGATGGGGTCATCCCATCTAGTCACACCCTGCATGTGTGGTCCAAGGGACCAGCCCCAGCGCAGGTTAGCACCATCCGTTTCTGCTCCTGATGCCCCCTTGGGACCTGCAGTACCTTCTCAGTCTGCTAGCAGGCAGTGTGGGTAGCCCAAGCATCTCAGGAGATATACTGGCCTCTCCACATTTCCCTCTGGTTAGTTGTGAGGTTTTAGGCAGATTTTGTAACTGATTGTACCTCCATTTCTTTCCTTTAACAATGGCAGAACCGAAGCCAACTCAGAGGGTTGCTAAGCCTCCCACCAAAGGGTTGGGTGCCCTTTAAACAAAGGCCGGCATGTCCTCCCTCTGGCTCCACCATCAGGCAATCCCCCCATCTTCATCCACAGACTGCAGCCCTCTCTGTTCAAGCTGTCACAGCCCCCTGAGGGGAAGGCCCCAGTGGGTTTCTCTAGCCCCCCACTTCCCCTTCCTTCTGTTCCCCCCACTCTTTGTGTGGTTCTCCTTCCTCTCAGACCTGTGATGTGGCAAATGTTCCTGGATCCTGCAGCTGCAGAGCCCCAGAGCACAGTCAGCAGTACCACTGGCAGGGTGTAGACAAGGCTTTTTAAAAGCTGCTGAGCCCTGAGCAGAAGAGTGGCCACAGGAGGGGTGCAGGTGAGTAATGGGATGGGGTGCCCCCACCACCCCTAAGCTGGAAGGATCCCAGCCTATAGGAATATAGTGGGCACAGGGGAGACGGGTGGTGGCCTGTGAGGGGAGAGGGCCAGAGACTGGGCACCCCACCTCCTGGAGCTCATATGCAGGTAGGCAGGCAGGGGGACAAACTGGAGCAGCTCCATCATGCTTCAGAAGAGAACCTTCAGTGGGAGGAGACCAGGGACCCCCAGGGGCGTCCTGGGGCCTTTAAAGGCCAGCAGCTCTTGGAACCACAAGCCACAGGTGCCAGCATGAGCGGGGCCCTGGGCCAAGGTCCAGGCTCTGGCCCCTTTGGCTGGCAATGCAAAGGGCCCCACAGCCTTTGCCCTTCCTCTCCCCCTGCCTGTCCCCTGCTCTTCTTTTTCGTGCCTGGGTCCTTTCCTCTGTACCGTCCACACGGAGTCCCACGAGGGCGAAGCCATGAGGGCATATCGGCCCCTGCTGGTACCTTCCAAAACGAGGGTCTCAGAGCACACAGCCTGTTCGGATCGGCCAAGGTGGTGTCAGGTGGTAACGGGAGCCCCTTACTTGTAGTGGCCTGGCATACTACTGGCCCGCAGGGCAGGGCTCACAGGAGGGTCACGCGCCCCTTTTCCTGGGAAGGGGACGCTGGCCTCCCTGGGGGCGGTGTGTTCCCAGCCCCAGAATTGCTGACGGGACTGCAGCTCTCTGCTGTGACACACCTGTGTGGTTCCATCACTGAGGCTGCAGGTGGGCAGGTCACAAACACACACACACATGCGTAGGGGTCCACGTGCCCAGGGCGATAAAAACCACAAGAACTAAGCACTAACTACCTCCTGCATACCTACCTATGCCAGTACTATTGTTATTTCTAATAGGTCCAGACCCCAGGCAAAGAAAGTAGCCACTGGAGGCTGGGGGACTCTGTCCTGAGCACACAGCCAGGAGGTGGGGGAAGTGAGCTACCCCCAGGCTCCGTGCTTCTCTAGCTGTAGGTCCTTCACCAGCTGTGGCATGTGTCAGGGCTGCATGCACCCTTAGTCCTCCTGACCCTTGTTAGGGCCACCTGCCCACAGCGCTCACTCTGACAGCATCTCTTGTGCCCTGGGTCCCCTTGTGTCAGCCACAAGACCATCCAACTGACTGGCCAACACATGAGTATAAATCCAAACGGCCACTGCTGGTAAAATAGCTCAAAGCCAGTGTCCCTCAGACCTTACCAACAGTCTCTTCTGGACAGGAGGCACATGCTCCGTGGCCCCGTTGTTCCCAATGCACAAGAACATTGCCTTGAATCAGAGGCACACTGTCTGGTCATTTCCTTTAGGGACTTCAGAGGGGCTGAGCGCCCCTTTGCAACCCAAAGGGCCCCTTCCCCTCCCTGCTGGCAGCCTGAAGTTTGCCTATCCCAACCTCTCTCTCCACGTTAAAGGCTCTGATCCTCACTGGAGCACAGGTACCCTTGTGAGGGAAACTCCTTCCGACCTCAGCTATTTGCAGCATGGTGTTCAGTGGGTTTTAGATTCTGTTTCAGGAGAGGAGGTTCGGCAGGGAACAGGTGAGGGTCTGGACCTGGCAGGTATTTGGGGAAGATGGAGAGCCCATGGGAGGGAACGACAGCCAGAAACGGGCTCTCCAGCTGGAGCTATGCCTCCCTGGTAGGGTACATTCTCCTGGCTCTCCTGGGAGCCCCTGGGATGTCCCCCCTGAAGACACAAGGAGGAATGAGGGTTGTGCAACACCGATGCTGAAGAAATGCCAGCCTTTCCTTCTGCTCTCCCAGGCCTCCCTCCAGACAGTCCAGCATTCTCCTCCTGCACCTCCAATTCCCTAACCCCGGATGCTTTCTTGGGTGCCTCTTAAAGACTATGTTTTGCTTTTGCTACTTCTGTGAGCTTGGCTGTCTGTCCTTCTCCCAGTCCCTCTCCTGAGTGGTGCGCCCCAGGGGTAAGGCTTTGGCACTCACCCCTTCTAGCGTCTGCTGCAATGCTTTGCCCCCAACAAGCTGCCAAATAATGCTGACTGGCTTGCCTTGGTTTGATTTCAATAAGCCCACAAAAGGATTTCCATCCCTGATTTCCAAGGGAGATGAACCCCCGCAAGAAGGGACCCTCAAGGAGGCTGGTGGGGTGGGGGCGGGCACATCAGAATCCAGCTTTCCCAGGTGGACACCCCTGAACACTCCTCTCTCCTTGTCCACACAAAACATGCCCTCCTGCAGCCAGTCTCAGCTGATAGGTGGCACAAACCCGTCTCGTGCTCTCCCCAAACCCTTCATTTTCTGCTTTCCATTTCTGAAAGGTGGAGGTTTAGGCAGGTGTTGAGAATGAGCCACATACCTGGCGGGTGGCAGCAAAGGCTTTGGGCTGAGTCCTGGCAAATCTCAATCCCCTACGATCCCAGATACGAAGGCCCCGAACATGGGCTGGCCGCTGAGCTCAGGCATCCAGCTCATCTGAGGCAGAATCCCCCACCTGCCTTCCACCTTAAAGCACATGCCGCTCCCTCTGCCCTTTGCCATACAAACCCAGATGGAAAGAACAAAACGAGGAAGTCAGTCACATCCTGTCTCTGCAAGGAAAATCACCAGCTGAATGCCTATTAAAAAATGGCCCTTCACAGTCTTAGAAGCAGGGGAAAGGTACTGGGAGCTTCACAGTCACTGAAGGGAGACTCAGAGCAGGGAGAAAATGCTCCCGTCCATGGCCCGGGATGTTCGGGGCCGGGGAGGCAGGAGGGGCTGGCTGGCCCCGACTGGCCCCTGTCTCCTCATTGTCACAGCGAAAGATACAGAGACCTGGGTGGACTACCCACTAACTGAGGGCTTGGAGAGGGCTGGTGCCAACTCACCAGCCATACCCACCTCTGCAGGGCGAGGACAGTGAGGAACATAGCTTGGGAGCTTCGCTGTAAGTAGGACCTGAAAGAGCTGTTCACACACAACTGGGAAATGAGGTGGGGGCGCTGCACTGAGACTTCTGGGATGGCATGCAGCTCACGAGTGAGGAAACAAACACCACCCCACCCACCCTGCTGCCATGGACCACGATGCAGCCTAGGGGTCTGTGGGAGAAAGTGCAGGGGACCAATGTGGCAGCTCCCTGGCTGTACCCCACCCCCATGTCTTTCTTAGGGGACAGGTCAGAGCTGGGGCACAAGGTGGCACAAGCACATGCAGGATGCCTCAGGGACCCTGAGATGTACCTGAATTCTGGGGAGGGGCCTGGGCAGGCACCAGGGCTCCGAGTGAGCAGGTGGAGGTGAGAACAGTGAGCTAAAGGTGACACTTCGTGTTCAGGCAGGCCGGGGTGTGCGTCCTGGGCTTTTGCGTGTATGATGAAGTCCTAGGACAGGAAAATGGTCCGAGTGGTGAGATCAAACGGTGGGTGCATGTCCCTGGTGTGGAGAGAAAGGAGGGCTCAGGGACAGGTTAAACCTAAAATGGACCCTGAACAAAGAGCAGGATCAGGGAAGCGATGAGGGTGAGGGGTGGGGCGTGGATGTTCTGAGTGGATGGAGGGGTTACCTGTGGGAGAAGCGGCAGCTCTGGGCTTCAGGGAGAGTTTATGGAACTCACCAGTGGGAGGAAAGGCTGAATGAAAACAGGTGGAACCAAATTGCAAAGGACCTTGCTACCGCACAGGGAAGTGTAGCATTGGTCCGGGGGTGGCCAAGAGCCATTGGAAGTTCAAAGGACCAGAAGTTATGCAGGCTGGAGAAGCCAAGTGGCAGGTGTTCCACAGAGTTATTTGGAAATCTTAGCCCTGAGCTCATTGTCCTTCCTCTGGGTCCTGCACAGAGCGTGGGGACCAGCCCTCAACGTGGGGTCCTCTGAGGGAATCTGGGGGCAGAACAGCGGAAAAGCCCCTCCGCAGCACACAGACCATCTTCACACGTGGTGTGGGGCACCAGGAGATGGAGGGAAAGTCTGCCAAGCTTATAGAAGCGAAATTCCCACAGGCCAGGGAGAATTATGATTTTTTCCCCCCTGGAAAGTTGTGGGGTTCTTTAAATGGGGATAAAACATAGAAGGTATTCTTGAATCTCACCTTTATGTGGCCCTTCCTACCTCTGACAGGGAACAGAATATGAGATTCCAAAATATGTCACTTTGGCATAAAGATTATTTGGGGCTGAAGGCAAATGAGAATCACCAGATACAGAAAAAGTCACTGCCCTCCCCTCATCCGCCGAGGAGCAGGGCATTCATTTCCCTGGGGGAAGGCCTGCTCCCCTTCCATGCCAGGGAGGATGGACAGAGTCTGTACCTCAGATAAGTCTGCACAGACGAGGTAAGTCTGACACACAGTAGGTGCTTACTAGGATAATCCTTATCCTCCATTAGTTCTCCCATATATTTCCTAATCACTTCCCCAGAAATCGCCCCTGAAACCCAAAAACCTCTTTCCTTTAAGAAGGGTGTATATGCTCCTTCATCAAACCTTTCCTTTCACTTTCATCCCTCTTCTATGAACTCTCCTGCAGGTAAGTTGCAAGGTAAATCACACACCGTCTTCTCCTTTTAGCATGCTTCTCGTTAGTCGAGTTCACATCCCCCAGTCACTGAATCTAAGCCAGGATGGACATTTTTTCTCCCCTGACCCTTGTAAGTGAATCACAGTCCAAAGTGAGTCCAAAGCCCTTTTTAAGCTCGTGGGTAACTCCCTCCCTTTAGAATGCTAGGAGCCGCCCAGTAAAGTCTCAGGTGGGTTTTTCCCCCAAAACCTCTGTGCATTCCCCCAACACCTCTTTATTTCTGTAGCATTAACATTTCAGGGACATTTTACCTTCATTTTCACCTGGGTCTGCTCATCTGAGTTGGTGGTGGGGTTCCTGGTAATTGCGGTCACATGGGGATGCGTCGTCTCTACCTCCTGGTTTTTGTGCCAACAGCATTTACTGCACAGGGTCATCCTGGGGAGTGAGTGAGACAGTCTGCGAAGTGCCCGTACTTGGCACACAGTAGGTGCTTAGCTGAGGCTGGCTGCAGTTACCGTGGGTGTTACTGTGTGACTTCCCATTTGTGGGCCCTGCCAGCTCTGCCAAAGGTCCAGTGTCTATACAGCAAAAACTCAGTCTTGTCCATCTTACCTGATGCACACTGTCTGGGCTGACAGTTGACATACACCACAAATGCTAACTTACTAGTTCATGTTGGGACTTCATCTATGAGAAACTGAAATATTCACAAAGATAGGCATCTCACTTCTGCTCCCTTGGTAACCAGTCAGATGGCCAGTGAGGGTAAGGAGGACTAAGGAGGGTTTCTTTTAAATACATGTCAGTTCTCCCCCCATAACCAAATGCAGGAGCAAAGTGAGCTTTGTTTATAAAACATATGAGAAGCAAAAACATCAAAAGCCCACCACCTAGAAGCAGCCGCTCAGCACTTTGAATATCTTTCCAGCCTCTTTGCCTAGAATGGCTTTCTGTGTGTCTCTTTAAATCATTCACAGTGTGCTCAGCTTTTTATCCCGCTCTTTCTTTCAGTATGAGTATTTTCCACTTCTCTATCACGTCTGCTGCCTCTGATTTATGCAGTCAAGTGACAGAATTCCTGGGAGGTTTGTGACTGATCTATTCAGGTCTTCAACTAATTGGATGGGACCCACACGAATCAGGGAGAGGAGTCTGTTTTACTCAGTTACCAATTCAGATGGGAGTCTCACCCACCAACACCCTCGCTGACATACCCAGAGCAATGTTTGATCAAATGTCTGGGCACTCTGGCTCAGGGAAGATGACACACAATAAGCCATCACACCCCATCTTCTGCCCCACCCCCAGCCAAGTGTCTTAGATCCTCCTCTGCTTTGCCTCACGGTGACAAGCCAGCAGGAGGGGCTCCAGACATCGCATGGACCTTTAACCAAGAAGAGGGAACAGGCAGAATCAGCCTGCTTTCTTCTGTACTTGTTTTCTTTTTTTTATTTAAAACAATTTCCTAAAGCCACAGCAGACTTCCTCACACATCTCAATGGCCCAAACTGCTCACCTGGCCTTTAAGAAAGGTGGCACTGGAAAATGGAATATCTGGAAAAGTAGAGATCACGGTGCTTGGCCATTTTACACCAGTCCTGATTGGTCTGGGCGCATGGCTGCCCCTTATAATTTGGGGGATGTTAGTCAAGAAGAAGATGGAACAGCTGATGCATGTGTGTGTGAGGGAGTGTAAGTCTGGGGAGAGGAAATCCCAGGGGAAAATACCTCTAAAAACCAACATCAGTCAAAGGGAGAAATAAAGTTTAAAACCCGTTTATTGCTCAAAAACTGCAGTCTCAGGCTATCTTTCTCCTCTGCTCTGGAAGAAGCCAGCAAGCAAGCAAGCCAGCCAGCTTCCCTTAACCTCCCAGGTTCAGACACGCCCTCGGTTGCCCAGGTAATCACCCATTGATATGGAGATGAACTTTTCTCCACCCCTGAGGATATGCAAATGAACTAAAGCCAGGCGAGATATTCTGGAAATGTTATAATTTTATCCACAGGATAGGGAGGAGTAGGATCCAGCAGTCACCCCACATGGAAACCCCAGTCCAGGCCTGCCTCTCCTAGACTGCTCTCTAGGTATCTTTGATTTTGGGTTGATCATAAACTTGATTACATTTGTATAGTCAATTTCTTGGCTTCTCTTCTCAAAGCGGATTTTCTTTCTCATGCCTGAAGAGTGACACTTTAGCTCCCAGATGACAGCCTGGTCCCTCCCATTTCTGTGTCTCACGACTGCGGAGGGGGCCTTGCTGGGAACACCATGTACAGTGGAATCGAAACTCCCCAAGGTCCTGGCACTGGTGTCCAGGGGCTCTGTGGCTCTGCCCAGACCCCAGGGCAAACCGCTCGGCAGGAGCTCAGGTCCCCTCCCTGCTGCAGGCAGAAGCCTCTCACACTCTCATCCCCCACTGACTGGCAAATACCCTGGATGTGCTCACAGGTGGTGCTGCTCCTGCCAGCCTGTCTTCTGACCCAGTGCCCTATGCAGTGCCCTGCGCTGGCCTGGGCCAGGGGCTTCTCTGTGGGATGGAGATGAGAGCTGCTCCCTGACTCAGACAGCAGATGTGGCCCACACCTGCAGAATGAAGTCCGCAGACCACACACACACACACACACACACACAGACGCACACACGCACACACGCACGCACGCACGCCCCTGTTTACCGCACCCTCAGTATGATCACTCCCTGGCCTACCAGGGTCTCTATCACTCTAGAGAGAGATGGTTTAACTTCCTCTCTCGGGAGACTTTCCTACGTCCCTCTCCTCCTGCCCCCTGCTACCACCTTATCGTTGCACTTGGCACTGTGTAGTGTAATCACTTCTGTGTCTAAGCCTAGACTACCAGGGAATTTATGATCCGACTTAGTTTTGTGACCACTACGATAATGAATGCTACTTGGACATGAGATGGCATACAGGTCAGTGCCTGCCACAGACCCTTTTCTAAATAATAGTTTGTATGTTAAAGTATTTCAGATCAATAGGGAAGGTAAAAAATGAGTAACTGGTAATGGGGCAG